AAATACTACATTTCCGAAGCCTTCTCAACAAGCATTGAAACAAGTTTGCTGCTCAAAAACAAACAAACCCCCACATTAATTAGATTCCATGTTTCCTAGTCCCTGAACTTTCCAGTTAATTTAGGTATATTGGACACTGGGTACAAAATACAGAAGAAATAAGGATTCTAAACATCACTAGTGACCTTCACCAAATCCAGATCAATGGTTTTTTCTCTGTAATTCTTCCTGGCTTTAACCTTGGCCTCCAGGGATAGAAAACTACTGGGTCATCTCTTACTTACCTAATCATTTCCTCCTTTTGAAAAAATCCTCTTCATCTTTCCATTCCTTACTTGTGGGTATTTCCTATATTCCATCTTCAGCTCTTTTCTCCCCGTACTATCCCTTGGAGAACATGCCCGGTTTCATGCCTCTGACTCCTAAGTTTATACCCCAGTCCTGAATTCTCTTGGAGCCTATAATCCCATGTTACTAAGTACTTGCTGAATTTCTTTTCCTGGACATCTCACATAAAATCAAAGCTATCCTATTTTCATGAATATATAAAATCTTTTACAAATTCAGAAGAGAAAGACAAACATCTATTTAAAAAATGGGCAAAGACATGTACAGACAACTCACATATAGGTATGCATAACAATATACATATATCGGGCCCTGGCTGGCGTAGCTCAGTGGATTGAGCGCGGGCTGCGAACCAAAGCATCACAGGTTCGATTCCCAGTCAAGGTACATGCCTGGGTTGCAGGCCATGACCCCCAGCAACCGCACATTGATGTCTCTCTCTCTCTCTCTCTCCCTCTCTCCCTTCCCTGTCTAAAATAAATAAATAAATAAAATCTTTAAATATATATATACATATATCAAATGTAAAAAAATAATAAAATGTGAATGAAATGACATGATGACATTTTTCAGTGATTCAGTTCACAATAGCTAAAAAGCCTCAGAAACTCAGTGTCGGTCTGTGTATGGGGAAACACACACTCCTGTATATTGGTGGTGGGAACAGATATTTGTATTCTCTGTTGACTGATTCTCAGTGTGTACGAAAATCTTTCAAATGTGTGTGCCCTTGGGCCCAGTGGGCTTCAATTGTAGGAATTTCACTTAAGGAAATAATCAGAGATTTGCTAATCTATAAGAACAAGAGTTATCATTTGTGTTGTTGAAAACATGGAAGCATGCACATGTCCAGCAGTGGAAGACTGGGTAAGAGAATTTGGTAAACTGCAATTGAACACTGGGTGCCGATAAAAGTAATGTTTTGGAAGTGTATTTAATGCTAGGTACTTATATTAAATGTACTTAATATTAATAATACTATACTGTACACCTGAAACTAATGTAAAATAATGTTGAATGTCAACTGTAATTGAAAAATAAAATTAAAAAGAAATATACTTAATTACTCAAGAAGACATCCATACTATATTGAGTGTCAGATTATTAAGTCAATTTACGAAAAGAAATATACAGAATGATCCCTTTTTTGTCAGAAAGAAGATATACAGACTGGAGGGAAATACATGTAAACATTAACAGTGTTTATTTTCAGAGAGTGATATTATGGGTCATTGTGATTTTCTCTTTTACAGTTTTCCATGTTCTAAAATATCTATAGTGAACATTGATTACTTTTGCAAAAAAAAAAACACACAGAAAACTGACAAGTGTATTTTCTTTTTTTTTTAAATGAGGTTCCTTTTAAAAAATATTTTATTTTTTTATTCTTAGAGAGCGAAGGGAAGGAGAAAGAGAGGGAGAGAGAGAAACATCAATGTGCGGTTGCTGGGGGCTGTGGCCTGCAACCCAGGCATGTGCCCTGACTGGGAATCGAACCTGTGATGCTTTGGTTCGAAGCCTGCGCTCAATCCACTCAGCTACGCCAGCCAGGCCTACAAGTGTATTTTCTTTTAGTAGCTTATTTAAAACCAGACTCCTTGACATCCCCACTAAAGGAGCCCCTTTTCTTGGCTTCTCTCTTTCTGGCCGTGGTGCCGTCAATCCAAGCTCCCAGGCTTAGACCATTGCAGCCTTAGAGATTTAATTTCTCCCTCGCTCCCTCTGCCCAATCACTCATTGAGTCTCCTCCCTTTGATAGGATGTCTCTCAAGTTTGTTTCTCCCTGCTGAGTCTCAAGTCAAATCAGTTCACTTCACAGCATATATTGTTATAGTGCCTTGATGCCACTATGCCACTTCAGTGTTATTGGAGTCATCTGCTAATGTGTCTTACTGCCCTTTCTCTCCTTCAGTCACTTCAGCAACCTGCCTCTGGCATGATCTTTTGAAAACGCTACTTGTATGGCCCTCCCCACTCAGAACACTTAAAATACCCCCATACCTTTTTCTTTTTGCTGTGTAGAGCTCTTTTCAGCACTGTGCTAAGTGGGAGGTAATAGGTGGGCACATGGGAGGTGCTTGGTAAGCCTTTGACAATGAAGTAAATCTTTAAGGATAAGGTATGGTGTACTCCCATTGCCCTCCACTGTTGTCAGTTTGAAAACTGAAAATTCCCTTTCCTCGCTTTTTGGCGCTTGGACCAGAGACCTAGGAGCACTTGAAGTTTCATGGTGCTGCAGTTGGAGACAGGAAGAGGCATCCAGGGGCGATAAAATATGGTTCAGGAAACCTCAGCTCTGAGTCCCTCCCAATTTCCGATGCCTGCTATGTAGGAGACTGCATCGAGAAAGTAGATTGGCTCATAAGTCTTTGTCTCCCTGCTGTGTTGAGAACCAAGAATGAACAGCGGGAAACTTATATCTTTTTTGCTTGCTTTAATAAAAAGAATAAGGAGAAAGGGGTGAGGGGATGTGAAAAAGGGTGAATGTAGAACAAACCCTGCATGACGTGGGCCACTCATGAAACCCGGCTGTCTTCAGATGCCCCACTGAGGCCCAGAGAACTCCAACCTGGACTGCAGGATGGCAGATGGTCGTGTTTCAAGAATACTCCACTGGGCGTGTGTGGGGGGTGAGATGTGTGAGGGTAATGAGCTTACCAGAAGGCAGTCACTGGCACGTAGCCCTGTGTCTCATTCTTGGAGTAGCCGATGAAACCAATGGAAGTAGGATCCCAAACTGGGTGAAGTGGCTATCTGGGAAACCAGTGCCAACACTGTCAGCTGCTGTGAGGTTCCCCACCAATGCAGCCCATCCCTCTCAGTGTGAAAGTATGCCTTTATGGACCCAGTCTAAAATCAGGCTAACAGCCTGGGATGTTGGCACAGGCCTCTTGGCACTAACCATGTCCTTCTTGGATAACTCTTGGCACCTTTCTGGTTATGGAAATCTTGGTGTAGCCCTACCCAACAGAAACTGACTGTTTACCTAGCCCACCCCTCTTGTCTAGCTTGGCTGTCTCCAGCTTTCCTTCTCTTCCCTTTCCCCCTCTCTTGCTGCTATTGGCAGTTAACGCATTTTTTTAGTACATTCAGCCCCCTTTTGTCCTCCCTCCCTGGATCCTTGGAAGCCTGCTCCAGTTTGAGGTTCTCCCTGTTTTATAAAACCATTAGCAAGAAGAAGCTTTGGGAATTGCATGCGAAGCAAAGGCCTCCTGCCTTCCAGGGCTGTGAATGACTTGACTGACCCCAATGGTGACAAGGGGACCAGAGGAAGCAAGGAGGCAGGTCTCTCACCGAAGTGAGCCACTGCAAGTGTGGCGTGGCCGCAAGTTTGCCATGGCGTCACATGTTATTGGGGGAGTCTGAGTGCAAGGATAACCTCCCCGTGTAATAAGAATAGCAGCTACTGCTCATGGGATGCTCACCATGTGCTCAGTGCTTGAGGAGTATTACCCTACCTAACCCTCACACGGTCCTGTGAGGTAGTAAAACTGGTTCCTGATTTTACAGATGGGGACACTTTGAGAAGTTAAGCAACTTGTTTAAGGTCAGAAGGTAGAGGAGGTGGCACTGTAATTCAGACCTGCCTGATTTCCAAGTTTAGTCTCTTTTTTTTTACACTTTTTTTTCAATTACAATTTACATTCAGTATTATCTGTTTTAGTTTCAGATGTACAGCATAGTGGTTGGAAAATCATGTACCTCACAGAATGGTCCTCCCACTGCTTCAAATACCCTCCTGGCCCCACACAGTTATCACGATATTCTTGACTATGCTCCCTATGCCGTAACCTACATCTCTGTGACTCTTCTGTAACTATCAAACTGTACCGTTTAATGCCTTCACCTTTTTCACCCAGCCCCAACCCCCCTCCTCTCTGACAACTGTCTGTTCTCGTATCTATGAGTCTATTTCTGTTTTGTTTGTTAGTTTATTTCATTAGATTTCACATATAAGTGAAATCATACGGTATTTGTCTTTCCCTGACCGGCTTATTTCCTTTCGCATAATAATCTCTATGTCTATCCATGCTGTCTCAAAAAGTATGATTTCCTTCTTTTCTTATGGCTGAGTAGTGTGCCATTGTGTGAATGTACCACAGCATTTTTATCCATTTATGTACTGATGGGCACTTCAGCTGCTTCCATATCTTGTCAAAGCCTAGTCTCTTAACATCTACACAGGGCCACCATTGTAGGTCCCCAAAATGCACTAGAGAGAAGGGTAATTGAAGTCCCTTTGTAATATTTACTGAACATGTACGCAAGTAACAGGCATTGTTCTAAGTTTGTTATACATATGAGCACATTTAAGTCTCCCAATGACCTGTAAGATAAGTAATATTATCTCATATGATAGACGGAGAAGGAAACAGAGTCTCCGAGAGGTTACCCAGCTTTTAAATGATTTGAGTTGAGAGTTAACCCAAGTCTGTGGACCTCCGGCACCAGCAGTCTCATCCCATGACCCTTCCTTTCTGCCCTTTATAAGCCCCTCTGTAGTCTGCTTTGTCTGGAACTATGGTAACATTCATTATGGAACCTGGGTGGGTGTTACTTCCTAGTGTGGAGATTATTTGGAGGGAGAAGTGAGGCCCAGATTGCTTGTAAGCACATTTTTATTTTCTCTCCCCCTTCCTCTTCCAAATTAGGGTGAAGGTTGCCGAACTGTCCCCCTGGCTGGACATGTGGGGTTTGACAGCTTGCCTGACCAGCTGGTGAATAAGTCAGTCAGCCAGGGCTTCTGCTTTAACATCCTGTGTGTGGGTGAGTATTTCCATAGCAGAAAATTCTATTACAGAAAATGGATCCTTAATGGCTGGATGTGGCTTTGCAGGTAATTAGGTTAAATAGCATGTCATTCTGATCTACTTGCAAGAGTGTTTCTCCCCTCTTTCTTCTTTTATCCTTCTGCTTGTTTTTGTAAACAGCTGGCTGTAATGATATTTTCCCTGGTCAGACAAGAATATATGGTCATACCTTGGGGGAAACTGAGCTGTGTGTTACCCAGTGGAAATTTTGCAAGGGAGCTGGCTGGCTCAGCTATTGCTGTCAGGTTCATTTTGACTGCAGAGAACAGGAGCCACAGCAGAACTGGGAGGAAGGTAATGGCTGCGGAAAGGCTCCTGCCTACCAGCTGTGGGCAGTGAATTGGTTCTGTCAGTTTCCTCTGCAGTCCCGCTATGTTTGGTACAGTTCAAGATCAAGTGCAAGGATCACACAGCTCTGTGCCAAGTTCTTTTATTCCCTTTATGTGTATCTCTGGACTTGAGTCTCAAATGTAGGAACCACATCTTAGTCACCTGATATATACTAATCAAAGCACAAAGAGAGTTCAATGATGCTTGTGAAAGGAATGAATGAGTTACCGTATTTTGCTGTGTATAATGCGCGCCCACGTTTTGGTGCGTGTTATACACAGGATTATTATGCCCCTTATTATTCCCATGGTATATAACCATTATACCCATGTACAATGCACATACTTAATTTTCTCTAAAAAATATGGGCAAAGCAGTGTGCATTATACATGGCAAAATACATGTCCCACATGAACCACTTATGCTTCTCAAACACTTTTCCATATTAGCAATTTGGGTCCTTACTAGGGCTTTGCAAAGTGAGCAGAGTGAATAGCATTCATATCCTCATCGAAATGATGGAGACCCAGAAACTTAGGGAGGATAAGGGACTTATCTGAGGCAACACAGAATAAGTAGCAGAACCATGAGAAGGACCCAGGTCTGGCTAACCCTTTGTCCATCCCTCTGCTTCTCTAACTGCCGCTAGCAACATGTCTTGAGAACACAAAAGCATTTTGGAAACTCAAGCACCAACCAAATACGAGGAGCAAAAGTTCCTTCCCATTCTTTAAGAATCTCTCCTTAGACCTTAAAAAATCCCAAATTTACAAACACAATCATAACATATAATTTTCACTACACAGCGCTGTAAAGCATACATGCATATTTTCATTGATCTACTTCCAAACCTTAATAATTGTATAATACCATAATAAAGCCAATTTTCACGCTGATTGGACCACTTCTGCTAATTTTTTCATCTTTTTTTGTATAGCGCATATGGGAAAATCATTCATGTTGAGGATCTGAGCCACTCCTGAATGGGATATTTTATTCTTTAATGTAGTCTAAAGTTCTGTTTTCTAACTGATGTCTTTCCTTTTCTTGGACTCTATTTTCTCTTCTCCATCCCCAGCACTTCCACATCATTTTCTATAGGAGAATAACTGCGCACTTAAGGGCAGGTAGATAGAGCACAACAAAGTCGCTTCCAAACATGGATGGCAGGCAGTCAGCTAGGCTCACTCACTAGTTGAGTGACTCACTTCCACACACTAGCTTTGGAACCTATGAAATGAAAATATTGGGTTGGCCAAAAAGTCCATTCAGTTTTTTTCCCCATAAAATGAAAGAAGCATTTTTCATTTTCACCAATAGCATTATTGATTTGGATATTTTGAGTATGTTGGCCATCTCCCACATGGTATATCATGATTGTCCTCAATTAATGTCTCCATTTGATCGCTATCAACTTCAACTGATCTGCCTGACTGTGGAGCATTGACCATCGAGAAATCTCTAGCAGGAAAATTTGCAAAGCATTTCTGGTACGTTTGATCCAGTCACAGCTCCTTCTCCTTACACTGCACAAATATTTTTTATGTGTTTCTACCTTTCTTGAAATAATAAAGCACAATATGCCAAAAATGGGGCTTATTTTCTTCCATCCTCAGTATTAAAATAACTACACAGAAATTCACCAATTTTGATGTTTTTTAAAAGTGCATGCATACTGATACGACAACTGTCATAATACTGCAATCTGATGAAGTTGTTTCAAATGAAGTTAAAGACTACTAAGCGCTACTATAGCCATCCTCCAGAGAAAAAAAAAACGAATGAACTTTTTGGCCAACCCAATATGTGCTTCACAGAATTTTATATCATGGGACTTAGAGTCCAGATCTAGGTTGTTAATTCATCAAATGCCAGAAATCCTCTGATGATTATGGTTAGTTGCCATTAGGAGAAGTATACAAAATACATAGAAGTCCTGGTGATTGACATTAAGATCAAATGCTATTACATCTAATATTAGCACTGCCAAATCTCTCCAATCTTTGGCTGGTGGCCAACTTAGTTTACATAACATTTGATTACTGAAAATTTCCACACAAACATATTGGATTCTGTTGGCATTCCTCCCAGAGCTCTCTATGACCTATACTGGAGTTAAGAAGATGAGAAGTGAAATGACACACTCACACCAAGCAACCTTTCAACCAATTACATGGGCCAGTAAAGCGTTAGGAGGGAGGCCATGGAAATTAGAATAGCTCTCTGAAGGCAGGCATGTAGGGTAGTTGGACATGCCAGTTACAGGCTCCCGTCTGGACCAGAGGAAGGGGCAGCCAAGCTCATGGCAAAGCAAGTGGGAGGAATAGTAAAGACCTGTCCTTGAGTTCCTGCCCAGGCATTGTACAGCCACGACTGCTCCAGTGTGCACCTGCTGGGATGGCCTTACTCAGCTGCCTGGGAGAGACCCCCTGAGAGGGGAGGGGTAGGAAGGAGACTCTCATCCCCTGTCACCCTGTCTCTTTCTTTCCTGTCATGTCAAGTTTCAGAAAGTGGCTGCCCTGGTAGCTCCCCTCTTAGCCCTGTAAGTACAACCATTCAATACAGTAGCCTGAACTGGTTTAATTTCATTCTTCATCCCTGATCCAAAAAAGCCTACAACTCATGCATTCTACTACTCTATGTCTGTGCTTGCGACCCTGTCATTGCTCAGAGAGCCCACAATTTGGGCCAAGGTTACAAGCAGTTTAGAGTGGCTCTAAGGCTGCAATCTTGGCGTAGCCATAGGCTTGGTCCTGCTGCTGACTTGGCGAAGGGTTCGTAGCTTGGCTGCTGAAGGTGATCTTTGCTCTCCCAGGATTTTCAGTGACCGTGATTTCATGCCGGTCCACCGCCTGTGCATAACTGTCAGGTTTACTCCTTTAACGACTGTTTGGGCATAGAATATGTTCCCTGAAGGAATTTTCTTTTCTTTTCTAATAGGGCATTTTAAGTGTAAAATTATGGTAGCACTAGCTTCCGTTATTAAGAGACCTAGGCTATTTTTGGCACAGTATTATTTATCCTGGTGCTGGACTGCTGAGCATTAGGCTCAAGCCCAGCACACTGGGTACCTGGCATGTATATGTACATGTGTGCACATGGGCATGTTAGGATTGGGAGAGGGAATTTTTACCAACACAGAGCTGCATTGATACGTCAGGGTACCAATAAATGGCACCCACAATGATTGTTTTTAGAGGGCTAGGCACATGGGTGTGAGCATATTATGACTCCTCTTCAATACCCTAGATTCTCTAGCGTTGACGATAATTACTGAGTAGGGTGAGGTTCGCCTGTCCCCATAAAAGTAAAGTATTTACTAGTTGCTTAGCTTTGGAAATGGTTAGGATCTCATGATCCTAGATACAGTGCAGGAGGCCTCAGAGGAGCCACCAGAGCTAGCAGCACAAATGCTCTGCTGCAGAAGAGCCCCAAAGAGACTCAGCTCTCCAAATGTGCCAGCAACAACGATTCCTGTGAGCAACACAAAGGGTCATAATGATAATATTTACTTTGAAGCTGCTCAGGATTCCAGGCGCAACTGGGCTCTGTTGAACTTGGAAAAAAACATACAAGAGAAGCAGGATTGAGGTTCACTAAACGAGGACGGGAAGGGCAGCTAAACATTCTATCAAGGTCAGGGGTCGATTGGGAAAGGCAGCTGCTCACCTAAGACAGGCTGCCAGCAGTGCTAGTGTGCCGGTCAGTGTCTCACAATCTGCTCTCGGGGAAAAAACTGCCATGGTTTGCAATTTGCTGATATCCGTAGTGTCATTATTTCCATCATAGCTGGTTTTTGCTGCCAACCTGATGTCACTGCACATGGGCTTGGGAAGAGCTGCAGGAAGCTGGGTGAGCCTGCTTCAGCGTAGAAGTTGCCAGGTCTCTGCAAGATCAGGAAAGAGAAGGCAAGGTCACCGAGCCAGGCACAACCTTGTCCCTGTCCATAGGTTCCCTTGGCCAACTGGAGTTCCTGGCGAGTTTCCTTTTGGACACCTCCCTTTTGAATTCAGAAACGTTTCTCTTGGGTTTATTCCCAAGCACCATTTGGAGCTGGAAGAGACTTTAGCTCCATGTGACTGTGAGCTGTACCATGTGAACAGGGATTGGGGCTGTCTTGTTCACTGCTGTATCCCAACCCCTAAAACTGTGCCCAGCTCTTTTTAGAGGCTTTGTAAATATTTGCTGAATGACCAAATGAACGAACATATTATGTCCGTGGGATGCTCTAGAGCATATTGATTATAAACATGGGCTCCATTGTCAAAACTGCTTTGATTCACATGCTGATTCTGCCACTTACTACTTGACCAGTTACTTCGTTTACATTATATAGATGAGGAAGGTAAGGCGCAGAGAGGTTGAGAACGGGAACAAATGTACACAGCTAGGAAGTGGCTTGGTTAACCTATCTGTAAATTAAGAACAAATCATGGTATCTACCTCTTAGGCTTATTTGGAGAGTTAGATAAGGAAATATGAAGTATTTACAGTAGTGCCTGGCACCTAGTGAGTGCTCCATAATTGATAGCTATTATTATTGTTATTCTAACTTGCTCATTTTATGGCCAAGGAGACTAGAGCCCAGAGAGGGGAAAGGGCTCTGCTCATGTCACACAGTCATTTAGTGACAACCTGACTGGCACTCTACATTTCATCACCGAAAGGACTTCATTGCACAAGGAGCCAGAGAACACAAATATTAACAGCAGGTGAGGAAGAGGGCTAAGCTTTTCTTTGTTATAGTGATTTTTTAAAAAGATTTTATTTATCTCACTTTTAACAGGATCTTACTCAACAGAAGAAAAAAAGCAAGCAAAATATAACCAGAGACATTGAAATTAAGAACAACCTGACAGTAACCAGAGGGGAGCGGGGAAGGTATAATGGGGGAAAGGATTTTCAGGAACAACTATAAAGGACACATGAACAGAACCAAGGGGGAGAGTGGGAGCAAAGGAAGGAGGTGGGGATGGCTGGGGGGAGGGGGAGTGGTGGGGAGAAAATACAGACAACTGTAATTGAACAACAATAAAATAATTTTAAAAATAAATTATTTATTTACTTTTAGAGAGAGGGGAAGGGAGAGAGAAAGGGACAGAAGCATCAATGTGTGGTTGCCTCTCATGCGCTCCCTACTGGGGACCTGTCCAGCAACCCAGGCATGTGCCCTGACTGGAAATCGAACCAGCGGCCCTTTGGTTCACAGGCTCATTTATGGCTCAATCCACTGAGCCACACCAGCCAGGGCTGTTAATAGTGATTTTTTACTCAGGGTACAGAGGTCAACACTGGACTATCCCAGGGAGTATAGTTTGGAAAGGCATATTTCATAGTACATGTTTTAAAATGAAATTATTATTTTAAATAATCTGATGTTTCCAGAATGCTGTCTGCATTAAGCACAGTGAGCTGAAATCCTTCTGGATGGTGGTGATGACTTAAAAAGGGTTAAGGAACCCTGCTCCATTGTGAGGAGGCAGGAGGAGAGAAATTGACCCCTAGGGACTCCTCAGGTTTCCTGCTGGAATCTAATTACCAAGTCCCCACCTTCCTGCAGGCGTGTGGAATCTGCTGACCTGATCTGAATTAGGCCCACCCTCCCACTCAATACTCAGCTCAGGGCATCATGGGCGGGGGACAGCATCCTAGGCTCAGGCTGGGCCTGTGCTAGCCATTGTGAGAGAGTGCCCACCTTACAGTCCCCACCCCTTAGGCTCCACATACATGGGAAGCTGGGATGGCAGCACTCAGTAGCCATTGGATGAGCTCACTTGATTTTCTGCCCTCTTCTCACGTTGTGTTTATCCTGATTCCCTAGATACCCGCAGGTTCTTTGCTTCCAGATATTTGTCATTGGACATCTAGTTTCCACAGCCCTTTTGTGCTGGCCGGCATTTGGATGGTCATTTTCCTCACTGCCCTGCCCTGTAGGCGGGCCGCTAGTTCTTCAGCTGTGCAAACAGGGTGGGCCCTTCGCTCTGCAGTCCTGCTCCTGAGGCCTGTGTGAGCTTGTCTTGGGCACTCTTTGGAGTATGGGAAGATGTCCCCTCCCCTGTTGTCTGAGAATCCTTAGGATCAGAGAGCCAGGTAGCCAGGTCTGGGTGCTGGGGAGGCAGGGCCTGCCACTCTCTAGTTGCTGCAGGGCATTCAGCAAAGAACTCACAGAACAGAAGAGGGGGTGGAGATGGGAATGCACAAGGAAAATTCATTTGGTGTCTTCAAAGACAGGCTGAAATGTAGCTTGAACTTCAGTGCCCAGAGGGAAGGTGGGTCAGGGTGAGGGAGCCACCCTTGTGTTTCCACCTTAGAGATGTTGGCCTCCTTTGCAGTTAGCTGCACCCCCACCTTGGGCGAGGAGGGGGTGATACATTCCATTGCTTGGCCAAGTCTGTCACCTCCCATTGCAAAGGCCTCACCTCACCAAATTTTTCTTGGGACCCAAATGCTTCCTGTTCTTTAGGGAGGAACTAAGGGGCCTCTTCTAGGAGAATCTTTGCTGCTGATAGGTATAACAGACCCTGGCTGGAAACATGATCTGTGAGAGGAAACCATATTCCTGCACCTTGACAATCAACCCCATTAGTCAAACCTGGCTATGCACTTGGGCTGGGGGGCCAGGCAGCTGGCTGAATTGAATGTTCTCCTTGTTTTCTCTCAGCAGTCTCTCCACACACAGGCGCTCTCATCAACATATATTTTTAAAAGCACCTCTTGCATTCATAGCTCATTTTTTGAGAGAAAAGAGGTGTGGACCATCCAAAGCTAGACACACCCAGAGGGTGGAGAGCAGACGGATCATTCGCAGTTATTGGTTGTGAAGCTCTAGCCCTAGGCCTAGGTTGCGAATGTGTGTTGTTAGTCACAGGGGGATCTGCCAGCTCAGGATTTGCCCAGTGCAAACCCACTCTTGACTGTAAAGACAGTTGACACTCACATCTGAAGGGTTGGGAGGGGGAAGGGAGAAGAGAGGTGATAATAGAAGAATGGCAGGGTAGTCTAGGTATTCAAAGGGCAATTCAAAGTAATTCACTGCTGAACCTTGTATTCCTGAATCCCTTGGGGTGGGATGGGGACCTAGATATAGTCTGGATCCGAGGAAACTGTAAGCACTATAGCCACTTACAATGCCCAGCTCAACTTGTGGCCTCACATCTGGTAGCTGAGTCCAGCGCCACCAGCTTCCCTCCAGCCTCTTCAATCCATGAACACTCCCTGGCTTATGGCAGTGGCTTGGCATCCCTTAGATCTTTCAGAAATAACCTCCCCAGACCGGCACCAGTCCCCCACAGCCCTTCCTCCACTTGTCTCCTTGGTGTGAAAGTTAAGACTTTTGAAATTCCAATGGTTTAATTTATTGGTACCCTGCAGCCTGTTAGTTAAACAAAGAAATGACTGGTTTGTTTGAAATTTAAGGGGAAGAATAATTTGTGGCCTGCTATATTCCCTCCTTATTAGCTACAAATGGTCTCACTGACTGCTCAGCCCCCTGGGAGGACAAGCTGAGAGCCACATTGGCTCCCCGCTGGGACAGCATTCAGGCTTCTGCAGAGCCCTGTCAGGTCCTGGCATCGAGGTGACATAGGGACTGAGAGGATATTTATTTGATGACAGACTGCTGTCCCCCACTTTTAAAATTTTAAATAAACCTTTAATTTTCATTACAAAAGCTATTCATGTTCCTCATAGAAAATTTGGAAAATACACAAAATCACAAAGAAAGAAATGAAAAGTACATATAACCCCACCACTCTGACACAACGGTTAGTAGGACTATATTGTTTTCCTTCCAGGCCTTTTCTAGGCATAACTCTACCTCTCCATCATTGTCTGTAACAGTTTCTTTTACTAACTATAAAAACAATGCAAGAGGAAAAAGGACTCATGGACATGGACAACGGTGTGGTGATTGCTGGCGGGGGAGTGTATAAGGGGACTAAAAGGTAATGGAAAAATACAATACAGATTAAATAAACATTGCAAAAAACCCAATGCATACTAAATTTTCAAAAAACAAGAAAAGAGGAATAACAGGACAATTACCCCAATTCCACTATCCTGGGATGATTATTGCTAATATGTTGGTGCAATTCCTTTCAGGGTTTTTTTTTTTCCCCCATTTAACTGAGATCACACAGTCCATACTTCTATATGCTCTTCACTCAGTGTCTTATCATGTACATTTTCCCACATCAATGAATATGCATCTAAAGCATGATGTGAATGGTTTCACGGTCACTGTGTGAATGGACCATAATTTATCCTTTTGCTTTTCAGGAGAGACAGGTTTGGGCAAGTCCACCCTCATGGACACCCTGTTCAACACCAAGTTCGAGGGGGAGCCAGCCACCCACACACAGCCAGGTGTCCAGCTTCGGTCTAATACCTATGACCTTCATGAGAGCAATGTGGGGCTAAAGCTCACAATCGTAAGCACAGTGGGCTTTGGGGACCAGATCAACAAGGAGGACAGGTAAGGAAGGTGGTAGGGTGGGGAGGCTGGTGGGAGGCCACGGGGAATAGCTCACCACAACAATCTTGGAGAGACTGTAGATGTCAAGGTCCTGACTAGACCTTCTCTCAAGAGGGTGAGGGCAGACAGCAGATCCCTTATAAATGCCACCTCCGCCCAGGGTCCCTATCTAAAGCAACTGTTCTACTGTACATGTTTTGCCAAAAGCAGGCATATCTTTCCAGTATACACCCGTGAGGTCTCTGTTGCATTCAGCAGACATTTATTGAGCTCTCCCTTGTGTCAGGTGCTGCTGTGCTCTGACGATCTGTAAAGGAATGACTTTGTTTCTGCCCCTCACATGCTCACAGGAAATACTGGTTTTAAACAAAGCAGTTCCATTGAGAGTGATATGCTCTGTAAAGGTCAGAATACAAAGAGGTAGAGGACAGATTACAATGAGACCATAAAGGAGAGGACACTTGATTCCATGTGGGGAAGTCAGGGAAGCCTTCACAGAGGAGGTGTCCACTGAGCTGGCCCTTGAAGGGCAGGAAGGGAAGGGCATTCCAGGCAGGGGTAACTGGTTGTACAAAGGCAAGGAGATGTGGAAGACTATGGCATGTTCTAGGGAATGGAAGGTTGCTCCGTTTGGCCAGACCAGGGGCAGAATTACTGTGAATCTAACGAAACTTAAGCCCTAGTGCTCTCACTTTCACAGGCCTCTTTCTAGGCCCTGTAACTAAATTTTAGTCATAATGCTATATTATCTTTCTTGGAGGGTCCTTCAAATTGTGTAAGCCTAACACTCCACAAAACTTGGGTCTGCCCCTGGGCTAGTGCTTGGAGTAAGCTTACACAAGTACTAGCTCAGGGAAAAGTGAGGGAGATGAGCCCAAAAAGATAGCAAGAACCAACTCCTGGAGGGATTTATAGAACGTTCAAGTGTGGAGCCACTGAAAGGTTTTGAGAAGAGAATGATATCTGATTGGCTGTTTTTTTAAGATTTTATTTATTTATTTTTAGAGAGGGAAGGAAGGGAGAAGGAGAGAGAGAGAGAAACATCAATGTGTGGTTGCTGGGGGTCATGGCCTGCAACCCAGGCATGTACCCTGGCTGGGAATCGAACCTGCGACACTTTGGTTCGCAGCCCACGCTCAGTCCACTGAGCTACACCAGCCAGGGCTCTGATTGGCTTTTGAAGAAGGTACTTTGAGATAGACTGGGGAGTACAAAGATCAGTTAGGAGACAATTGGACCAATTGGACTAGGCCACCGGTAAATCCGGTGCTGAGGTAAGGGTGAGGGGACAGATTTGATAAATATTAAGTAGGTAGAATCAACAAGACTTGGAGTAAGGTTATGAAAGCTCACAAAAATCTGCAGTGAGGCCCATATTTTCAGCTTCGGAGAATAGACAAATGGTGGTAGCATTCAGTAAGAGAGGATAAGAAAACCAGCTTTGACAGGAATCTGCTCTGTTTTGAACATGTTGAGTTTGAGTTGTCAATGGACCGTCCAGAGACACGATGACCTTCAGAGAGATGCAACTGAATATACAGGGTTACAGGTCAGGAAAGGGTCTGGGAGGGAAATAGGGATTTGTGTTAAGGTGTGGGTGATAAGTCCCAACCTGTGGACACATGTAAGATCACCTAGAGATCAGAGTTGAGCGAGGTGAACACCAGGCAAAAGACAAAAAAACCTTGTGATGCTAGGTCAGCAATAGGAGGAAAAGACATGTTAAAGAAATAGAACAGGAGTAAGCAGAGAGGTAGGAGGGGGTCCGAAGTGTTTGAGAATGGTGTATGAAAGATGGGTGAAGAGAGCTCAGGGATTAGGATGTGAAGTGGGCTGGGGCCATGGATGGGGTTGAGGGTCAGGCTCCATCTGCATTTAAACTGGAAGTCACGTGGTTACCACACATGCTCATCCAGGAAAAGCCATTCGTCATTTTGAGTGAAGTATCTGCTCAATTCTTGGAGGATTCTCTTGCTTCTTAGATGAACTCTATCCCAAATTATCTTATTTGTCCCTTAAAGTTACAATAGTGGTACTCATTTCCTTATAGTGAATATATTTAGCTTCTTAAAAGTTGAACTTATTTCTGTTATCCATTTGAAATTCTAAACAGAGGACACCTCTGCTTTTTATGAGCTTGTTTTTTAAACTATCTTATTGTTATTCTAATACCGTTGTCCCCATTTTGCCCTCTTTGCCCTCGTCCTCTCAGCCCACCCCTTCTCTGCTTCCATAGTCAGTCCCCACCATGTTGTCCGTGTCCGTGGGTCATTCATACATGTTCTTTCACTAGTCCCTTCCCCTGTCCCCCTCCCTCCTCCCCTCTGGTCACTGTCAGTTTGTTCTTCATTTCCATGTCTCTGGTTCTATTTTGCTCACATGTTTGTTTTGTTGATGAGGTTCCTGTTAAAGGTGAGATCATATGGTATTTGTCTTTCACCACCTGAATTATTTCACTTAGCATAATGCTCTCCAGTTCTATCTGTGCTGGTTTTTTAAAAAATACTTTTGAATTTTATTGTTGTTCAAGTACAGTTTTCTGCCTTTTCTCCCCACCCCTCCCCTCCTGGTGCTTGTTTTTGTTTTGTTTTGTTTTGTTTTTTTTTTGTTTTTTTTTGTTCTAATCTTACTTGGTTGAGAATGAGTTAGACCCTTAGGGAAGGGGATATTTGGATCACAATATGAGTGCCTAGTCTGAGTTGCATGTTGCTCAGGATCTCCTCAGTTAAATTTCTCTCAGTTCTCAGTTACATACATTCAGCATATATAAAATTGGAAAACACCTTGATGGTGGTTTGGGACTGAACTGATACAGCCTCTTAGAGGCTAATTTACTCCCATTATATTGGTGACATCCTTGTTTTTCCTCATTATAAATATGATATATATTCATACAAAATAAAATTCGGTGGTCCCCCTTATCTATTGTTTTGCTTTCCATGGTTTCAGTTGTCTGCAGTCAACCATGGTCTGAAAATATTAAATAGAAAATTCCAGAAATAATCAACTCATAAGTTTTTTTTTTAGGATTTTATTTATTTTCAGAGAGAGGAAGGGAGGGAGAAAGAGAGGGAGAGAAACATCTTGGACCTGGCCTGCAACCCAGGCATGTGCCCTGACTGGACTCGAACTGACAACTTTTTAGTTCACAGGCCAGTACTCAATCCACTTAGCTATACCAGACAGGGTGCAATTCACATTTTGACATTGCACACTGTTCTCAGTACCATGATAGAATCTTGCATTACTCCACTCTGTGCTGCCTGGATTACATCATCCCTTTGTCCAGGGTATCTATGCTGTACATGTTATCCTCCCATTTGTCACTTGGTAGCTGTCTTGGTGATGAAATTGCGTATCACAGCATCACCATGCTTGTGTTCAAGTAATCCTTATTTTACTTAATAATGACCCCAAAACACAAGAATAGGGATGCTGGCAATTTGGATATGCCAAAGAGAAGCTTTGTAAAGTGTTTTTAAGTGAAAACATGAGTACAGTATAATATACAGTACTGGAACATATTTTGAGAGAGAGACATCATATTCACATGACTTTTTATTGTACTATAATATAATTGTTTCATTTTATTCTTAACTTAATCTTTTACTGTGCTTAATTTATAAATTAAACTTTATCACAGGTATGTACGTATAGGAAAATACATAGTCTATGTAAGGTTTGGTACTATCTGTGGTTTTATGCATCCGCTGGGGTTTTGGAATGTATTCCCTGTGGATAAGGGGGAACTACTGTAATAAAAACTTAAATAAGTAGAAGTGGAAAGCCTTTCTGAAACTGGGCTGGGGAGCAGAGGTGGAGTAAGCTTCAGGGATTTGTAAAAAAAACAAAACAAAACAAAACAAAAAACCCACAAGATTTTCCTCCATACTGACAGGGCCATTTGGGCATAAAACGATTCCAGTGCAGCCACATGGAAACAGGGCATTAGAATACCTGCTTTACTCAGGGTAGTGAGATACTGAGGGTAGAAGAGCAGTGATGAAGGACATATCCTGGAGAAAGCCACCACTGAAAGGATGTTGGAGCAAAAGGATTCCAAGAGGGAGACAGAAGGACTGGCAGGAAAGGGGCATACTCACGAACTTAGGCTTTGGTCTCAGACAGATCTGTTTAAAATCCCATTTTGCCTCTATGAGCCCAGGGAACTTGGACAAGTGTTTTTGTTCCAGTTTTAGCACCAGTGCTGCTGGATTGGCCCTTGTGGTTCTTACGATTGAAAGACACCCTGAGCTCTAACCACCAGGAAACTTTGGTGGGGGAAAGGTTTATTATTCACAGGTCCTGGAAAGCACATGACATAGTGAGGTCGCAGGTACAGCAGAGAGAGAGATAACACGAGGGCCTGGAGTTCTGCCTGGATTAGGTTGAAGCTGCAGGGCTAAGGTTTTGTGGGCTCACTCTTTATTGTTGAATTTAAAACACAAAGGCAAGAATTTGAAGTGGGGGAAGGGAAAAATCTAGTGGTCCAAAAGTTCAGTTATGGAAATCAGCCAAGATCCCTTAAAACAAAGGAGCTTGGGGTGGGGGTGAGGGGGATTCTGATTCTTTAAGTAGCTGGTGATGTGCTTTATTCAGACAGCCGACTTTCAAGTGGATGCCTCTTTGAAATGGATACTTTGGCAATAGGAGCTTAAGTCAGGCACTTAATTTACAAGAAAGATAAAATGGAACAGTCAGGGCTTACACCACAATAACACAAATTCTCTATGCTTCAGTTTTCACATCTGTAAACTGGGGGTGATGATAATGCTACCAGCTACCCTAGAAGGTTGTGGTGAGGCACAGTTGATATGCATGATTTATGAAAGGCTTAAACAGGTCTTACCCCTATGGCTCAGTTGGTTGGGCCTCATCCCACAAAATGAAAGGTTGCTGGTTCTGTCAGGGGATGTTTCTCTCCCTCTTTTTCTCCCTTCCCCTCCCTCTAAAAATAGATAAATACAATCTTGTAAAAAAAAGAAAAGCTTACATGAACA